AAAACGGCTGTGTTAAGATGTGCAGTCATCTGTACGAACACTTGTCAAAATGTTGAAGGGATCCAAAATAAAGACTTTTTCAGAAATAATTGAAACTACTACCTAAATGCCAAATGTTACTTTCAAACAGAGTTTGAAGTTGAAAGAGAAGTGGCAAGAGAATTCTTAGAAAACAAAGAGACACAATTTACAGAATTAGAAAGAAAGCATACAGAGAGAGTGAGAGAATCGAAAAATGCTCACGAGAAGGACCTAGAGACCTTAAAGCACAATATAATCTCTTAAAGGGGTCATAGGATGCTACATGCACTTTTACAAGTTGTTTGAACTGAAATGTGTGTTGGCAGTGTGTGTACACAACCACCATATAATGATAAAAATTTCATTTAAAAATCTGGTTAAATGTTTTCCCCTTTCTCAAATCGAGCCGATCTCAGATGCCTGTCTGTGTGACGTCACAAAAACAGGCCCCTCCCACGATAGTTTGATTGACAGTAGCGTTTCAGCACAGACTGGACTGGTGTTTTCCCTTAGCTCCGCCCTGAGTGAGCTGTCATCAGTCCGCCATTGTTTCACCGCCGGAGCAGATGTAGACAAGAATGACTCCTAAGCGATTGAGGTGTTCTGTTGTTGGATGTAATCATGAACATAGCAGTCGTCATTTACTCCCGACATCTGAGCCGCTGAAGACGCAGTGGATTACATTGTTTCTGAAGGGAATGCGCCCCCGATCTACATAAATGCGTCTATGTTCACGCGAATCATTCGTGATCCAGCTTCACCTACAGAAGAAGTGAGTGTAATGTTTTGTAATGAATCTTTGCAAATCGCCTTTCCTAATAATGTGCTAATTAGCAAGTTTCATGATGAATGCGGCTAAAGTAAGCAGTGGAAGAGAGGGGCGGGGTCAGCAGAGCTCATTAACATTTAAAGGAAAATGCTACAAAAACGGCTTGATCTGAAAAGAGCTGTTTTTGACAGGGTAAAAAAGGTGTTTTTTTACACTACCATTGAGAAATTTTAACCAAACTATGTTACAGTCTTTTCATTAAGACCCTAAAAAATCATATCAACTTGTGGAAAATGGGCATCCTATGACTCCTTTAAACTATGGCAATGACAGGGAAAAACATCCACGGTGATGACTGTCATTTGGTCTCTTTACCT